CAATATCCATTTGGTAAGTGGCCCACAGGGAGCCCACTTTCATGTGGCTATTACTGTGATTCCCAGCTGTTGTTCTGCAAAATACACTCAGTTCCTGCCTGTAAATCCTACAGCTTTCTTTCCCAGCTGCAACAGTACAGACAGATGCTGTTACAGGCACACTGTTCCCCTAAATCCACAGTGTGCTTACACTGCTGAGCATGTCACCAAATACCATTATATAACAATACATCAAGTTTGGCAACCAACCACCTCTGGAGACTCTGTCAGCAAAAATTGCACATTTTCTTCCAAGTCACAGCTAAGAATACCAAACATAAGGCTAAGAAAAACTTAACAAGTTACTGCAATTAACAAGCACATTTTCTGATACAAAAAATAACTAATATGTACAACACAATTGATAATGCTTTATTATGACCTTTTTACTGCACTGATAACAGATTAAATGGGTTTGGGTTAAAAATTAAGATCCTACTGAGCTGACGGATAATCCAAAGAAATACGAGATTAGTTTAGCATGAAAAAATATCTATTTAGCAAACAAGAGACTTAGCATGCAGTTCTGCTGGCCGGCAAAATAACACAAAAAAGTAAGTTACATAAACAAACTATCTCTGTATCTGCTCTTTTTTACTCCCTAGAACCAAGCGGAGTGGTCAATCCAACACTTACGTGCATTTTTGTATTCTTGGGATTTCCCCAAAGTGCTATCTAAAATGACAAGCCCTCCTCTGAAGGACTTTTGGGACAACTTTTAAATAAAATTACTGGTAAAAGTTATCCACTTTGATGAGTAGGGAGTGGAACATATTTAATGTTCTTCTGAACTAAAACACCTTTGATTATAATAAAAGAAACTCATAAAATAAGAAAACATGCACAATTAGTCTTAAATGCAATGCAAATGTCTATATCCATGAGGAGACCTCATGGCCTCTGGTATCTTTAAGGTTTACCTTTGAAAGGTATTACAATGTGGAAAGAAGAGATGGGCCTGCTCATATGAATATATATTTTTCATCAATTTTGAAACTTTTTTCTAAGAAAAATCTGTGTCATTTGTTACATTTAACAGCTTTTACAATAAGTAGGCAACTGTCTTGCCTTGCAGAAGAACAGAAGTCATCGTGCTAAGTCTGGCTTGGCAGCAAATCCACTCTCCCGAGCCCTCTGTGCGACGATCTGGTCTCTTGGTGTCTCTCCTAATGAAGGACTGTCTTCATTCTGTCCTCATCACAGCCCCAACGTGCTACCTGGCACCATCACTGGCAAGCACAGCCAGCAACTAACAGAGCTTGGCAACCCAACTGCTCTATCCCACAAGAGCTTCGACATTCAGAAATAAAGCACAGAGTTTGGGGAACAGTAGGGAAACCTCAATGCCATAATTAGTGCTATAATTTGGTCTATTTGTCAAGTAGAAGCAGGACTTCAACCTTCTGGCATGTCGGTTTAGAGCCCTTTGTAAAGACAGTGTAAAACAAACATACAGAAGCTGGTAAGTACCCAATCCTGCAGTCTTTTTCTAGAGGAATGGCACAGAATTGAACTGGGGGCACTGAAGAGCAGAGTCAAATTCAGAAAACAAACAGGAGCTCTATCCTGTGCCTGCAGCACTGACTTGTTTATACATTTTGACCTTTCACAGAGGATCACTCGCTCACTGTGTGACCACACCAAGAGCACTATTGAACGCGAGGGTCCTGGCCACTGGCACTGCCACCACCTGACTGTGAGCCTGTGAGAAAAGCCTCTCAAATCACACAAGATGTAGTTTTAAACCAAGTGGGGAGAGGGAGGAGGAGAAATTTCCTGCACTAAGCAAACCACAGAGATATTTTAATCAGGACACAAAAGAAAGTTGAGCCAAACACCAACTGACTCGGATCATATCACATCAATAATCCATGCACAGAGCCTCTGCTGAAGTCAATGGGAGGCTTGTGTGGAAGTGGATTGTATAATATAAATGCACGGCCCTGTTTAGGGCTCCACATACAAAAGAAAAGGAGGTACTGAGAACAATTCCTTTAATTAGCACTTCTCTTCCACCGAGTGATTCTAAAATAATAAATTCTAACTTTACACAGTTCTGTTTTCATTCACAGTTTTTAACAGAGGTGGTAAAACAACTGACCCCATTTGACAAATAAGAGAACTGAAGCATAGGATGCAAATCAAACTGAAGAGCAGCGCAGCAGGCAGAGCTGAACTGGGAATAGCAGCTTACCTTCTGAATCACACTTTAATGTCCTAGATATTTACATGCTTATCTAGTTCAAGTCTCTAATTAGGGTGACTCTCTGCAGCCCTTAAATAATTTTGCATACTTCCTAAAGTACCTGTGCAGAGTGATAAGCTGTAAGAGCTTCCCATTCAATAATATCAAGTTTATGAGGATTAAGAATGTCCTGCAGAAGTTCAAAACACTGGGCTGCCCTGGTCAGGCTCCAAAGGGAGTCTCATTGCTCAGATATCACAAGTCTCATTACTCAACAGCAATAAAGACTTTTAAAACAGGCTGTCAAATCCATACGTATCCTGTCATCAAAGAAAAAAAAGGGGGGGAAACCCAAACAAAATAACAACTTGCCAATTCATTAGCTAGAAATTACCTAACTAATCCTGGTGTTCCAAAATGACAGCAATCCCTAAGAAAAAGCAAGACTGGGTCTCTGTTCAAGAATAAAGTGCAATACTTACAAGAAGTCAGAGTAAAATGTCATATACACCAATTACAAAACAAAATTCCAGTCTTACTTGTCTGTGATTGTTTTACAACAATACACTGTACTGTAGTTTACCCCCAAAAAGCAACATGTTTATTAAAGTGATATCAGCTTCTCTTGCATGCTAGAGGTATAAATCAGGCTTCACATATAGAATCAGCATTCAGCTAAACACAGACGGTGTCGTCCCCAGGTCCTGACTATTTGTCGCCCTATGCAAATCCAACTTTGAAATGCTTAACATCTTATGGAAGATTAATTCAGCAATATGTCCACTTTCTAGTTTACATTTCGCACATGATTAAGTACTATATTACACACGGTAAGTGCAAATAACAAGCATGTTCATTTCTCTCAACTACAGATGCAAGTCCATAATACTGTGAAAATAACATATTTTGAGTTAAATGAGCTTTCTGCTCTTTGCAATTACAGTGTTCAACTGCTTTGAATAATAACTTTTCAAGACTGACTCGCTTTGTCTTTTGCTTTCCTTTTTCAGTTTTGTTTTAAGAGTTAAGTCTATCACTGTCAAAACAAGCAGAAATGCCTGCTGAGAAATGGCCACATTTCCAACCCACTGCTTGAAGAATTATTTTTCTGATTCATCATAGTATTATTTTTTCAAGTTGTCAAAACAAACACCACACCCTCTTGATTTCCGAGTTCTGGGTAATTATATTTAGAATTAACAAGTAGCACGCAACTATTAATCATACAATGCTTAGCCCTTACTTTACCTATTTAGAGATCAGCCAACGCATTCAAAGGCCGCCTGTTTAGCATTTGGTTTAAGATATACCCTCGTCGCTCCGTTCTGCACCACCACGGCACAGACACACTGAATACAGGGCAGGCCATGCAGTCGGTCCCTCTGCCCCAGGGCAGGATCAGCTCCTGCTCAGCCACCATTATCGCTGATGATACACAAGAACTGGTTATTTCAGGCAGCAGCTTTACACACGCACTCACAAAACACATTATAAATTAAAGGAGGGAAGCGTGTGGCACGTCTGCAGTGCCTTAAACTGGGGCAGCGCACAAGCCTGTCTCCAAAAGATAAAATAATACAAATAAAAGCTTCCCCAACATGCGAGTCTGGATTTTCTAAAAGTAGTATCCAGCAAGGTTAACGCCGCTGCCTTTGGAAACAGTTCACCTTGTTTAAACTGGCTGAACCACCCCGTGATTATCACCGAGCCTCCATTAAGATGACACACACAAACAGAGCTCAATTACTCTTTTCTCCTCTCCTACACCGCCAGACGCGTACTTTTTCACATTTTGCCCCTTCCCCTCTGGCAGCGGAGGAGCAGCTGCAGCAGCGAGCACGGGGCTGTCACGGCGGCGGGGCCAGGACACGCCTGCCCTGCCCTGCCTGCCCCGCCGCCCCCGGGAGCGCCCGGACCGCCGCGCCCCGCCAGACCCTGCCCGGGCGCGGGACACAGAGCCCCCATTGTGGCCCGCCCGGGCACTGCTCGGTAGCGCCGGCACGGCGGCTCGGCTCGGCTCGGCTCGGCTCGGGGGCGCCGGGCAGGACGGGGCAGCACCGGCGGCAGGGGCCGCGGCAGCTCGCAGGGCTCCGGCCGTCCTGCCGCCCGCAGCGCGGGCTGAGGGGCCGCGCTCCCCCCGCACGAGCCCCGCACTCACCGCCGCCACCTCCGCCACCCTCTTCGTCCATGTTGGGACCGCGGGCAGGGCGCTCCGCGGCGGCCGCGGCTCAGGGAGGCCCGGGGCTCGTTCCACCGGCTCGGCGCCTCGCGGCCGCTCTTGCTCCTTCTCTTTCTCCTTCTTCTCTTCTTCTTCCTCCTCCGCTGCTACTACCTCCGCCGCTGCGCTCCGCAGCCCCGTCCCTCCCCGCCCAGCCCAGCCTCAGCCCCGGCGGCCGCCACCGCCTCGGCCCAGCCGCCCGCCCCTCTCATGTGACCCGCGGAGGGGAGGCGGCCCCGCCCGGCCGCTCCGCCGCCGCCGCGGGGTCGCGGCCAGCGCCGCGCCGCCCGCTCCCTCAGCGCCGCGCCGCCCGCTCCCCTCAGCGCCGCGCCGCCCGCTCCCCTCAGCGCCACGCCGCCCGATCCCTCAGCGCCGCGCCGCCCGCTCCCCTCAGCGCCGCGCCGCCCGCTCCC